TAATTCTTACTCTATTCTGTTGTGAGTCGAGTGGGGAACTGACATGTTTTAAAGAATATCTTGTCACGAAGAAAAGAAAAGTTTGCAGTAGGAAATTCAAAGAAAATGTGGCGAATGCGATTTGCGACACATCGCAATGAGTTCATTTTGCGCTTTTTGTCAGCAAATGCAATAATAACCACAATAAAATGTTATAAAAATGCTCATGCATATAGTGCATATATATCTTATAATAAAGGCAGCCAGCGGCGTCGGCAACAAAGCAAACAACAATTTCCCTCATATATAACAAGTAAAAGAGAGCGTCTAAGCCAAGCACATGGAATAAAGATAGAGAATATGGGAGTGTGTTTTGTATTTATATGTGTGTGGGCGATTTGAAGGCAGAAGCGGATGTACAAATTGCAAAACATAATTCAAATTGTTTGACTTTTTTGACAATGACTGCGCCAGTTCCACTTAACCCACCCTTTCACTGATACTTGGCAACTGCTTTTATCTTGGCATATGCATGGCTATACATATATGTGTGTGTGTGTGTGTGTGTGTGTGTGTGGGAAGTGGAGCTGGGCGCCACCCTCTGTAGTATATTTGTACACTTTTTGTTACTGGTTATTTAAGCTGCACTCGCGTTGCAGCTGAGCTACCGACTTTAAGTTTATTAACGGGCATTGTACCACGTTGCGTATGAGTCACATTAATTAGCTGAAACTGCTAGCGAAGTGCGCTTAAAAAGCAATTAAATGTGATTAGCACAAGTTGCCAAATATATTTTGCATGCTTTTAGGCGCCGCTTCAAAAACCATTGCGCAATCTCGGGCAGCGCCCATCGAATGGATTTTTGGTTTTAGCTGGTTTTTAGCTTTTATTCCTAGACTTATTTTATTTTTTTGGCACACACAGCCAACCATTTGACTTAATTAGTTGGCCGATGCCGTCGTCGCCGTTGACGCCCCCTCAGCTGTAGGACGGGGGCGGTGAGGCGGGGCTGCGTTTGCGGAAAAACTATGAATTTATTTGACACTTGAATAAATGCGGTTTTTGCGGCGACAACGAAAAATGTCAGCCCATATTTTTCGTTTATTTTTCCCCAGTTTCCAATTCTCACCCATCGACAGGGTGTGTCGACAGGGCTGGCCAGGCGGTAACGGTTGCTCGTATTGATATATAACCCATGTCTTGTCCTTGTACTCGGTGTACTTCATGTTCGATTCACAGCGCCGCGTCGCATATTTCCGTTTCCTGATTTTCTTAGGCCAGTGCCTGGTTGAACATATACATGCGTGTGTGTGTGTTGGTGTTTTGTTGGTGTGTACTTAGCGTTTTGTAAAATCCCATTTTGGCTGTCTAATTTATGAATGTATGCGCTAAGTATGCGCTCATGCCAGTAATTGTGATATGTGTAAGTGCATTTCGCTGCCAAAGACAGGGTACACTGCCAAAACCAAAGGAAAGGCCATGATGTCATTTGGGTAAAAGTGCGTAGATTGAGTCTGAAATTAAAGCTGAACTGATTGGATTAGTTAAGTCTAAAAAAGGTATTTATTAAAATAGCAACTATCCCTGAGTTTACCATAAATTAACTCAAGAACTCTTGCAAAAACATATTGCTGAGTTGTGGCTCCTCCCATAATTCCTTTTAGTATTTAACAAACCAATATTCTGAACCGAATTCAACTAAAGCTTATAATATTATAAAATAGCTTAAGCTGTAGCCAAATGCAGCTCAAAGCATTCCATTGCGAAATGGCTTTGCCAACTGCATAGACTATTCCAATAACTGGTACAATGCACCCATCAATCCCAAAGAAGCCCAGAGTCAGCCCAATAAATGCGACAACATAACAATTTGTATAGCTATTAAAATTACTGAACAATCAAAAACGAACCATTATATTATATGTATTATGTGACGAACCGTTAGCTGTGAAAATAGATAAAGAAATACTCGTAGCTGCCAAATTTGGCAGTGTCGGAATTTGTTATAGACTTATCGCACTTCTCGATTTTATTTTGACTTTTTAATGCCATCATTAGTATTCCGAACAAAACCTTAACTAAACGATTACATATAGCACAGCCCAAGACCAACCGAATTCCCAGTGTCGAGCACAGTCCGTGCTCGCGAGTCCAACGTACCAGAGCTCCCATATCAATTGGAATTTAGAAATAATGTTAGCCGCTTTATTGACATTTCTAAGCATTGTGGGCTTTTATGCACTCTCTTGTTATCTATACGAGCAGCTGAGAACACCTTACCGATTGCTAAAGTTGCGCCTGGCGGGCAATCCAAAGGAAAGACTCTCCCTGAAGGAGCGTTTTGGAAGCTGGGCGGCAATTACGGGCAGCAGCGATGGCATTGGCAAGGCCTACGCCAAGGAGCTGGCACGAGAGGGCATCAATGTTGTGCTGATAGCCCGGAATGAGGAGAAACTCAAGACAGTAGCTGAGGAAATCGGTGCGTATCAATGTCTGGCATGCCACTTAACAGTGCACTATCTAATCGACTCCTTTTACAGCATCGGATTGCAAAGTACAGACCAAGATTGTTGTGGCGGATTTCACGCATGGTGCTAAAGCCTACGAGCACATTGAGCGCGAGCTGGCTGATCTGCCCGTGACCATACTAGGTGAGTAGTCGACCTGCTCGCACACACTCACACACACACACACACACAAACACTAACGTTGATCTATCCGCCCCCTAGTCAATAACGTTGGGTTGGGCCTGCCAGGTGCCTTCAGCAAGTGCAGCCAGGAGCAAACCCAGCAGCTAGTCGAAACCAATGTGATGGCCGTCTCACAGCTCTCGCGTTACTTCCTGCAGCGGCTGCGCGCCTCTAAGACCAAAGGTGCGATTGTGAACGTGAGCTCCGGCACGGAACTGCAGCCTGTGCCATATGCTGCCCTCTATGCTGCTTCCAAGGCATATACGCGCAGCTTTACGCTGGCGCTGCAATGGGAGGCAGCTCAGTATGGCATTCATGTGCAGCTATTGTCGCCCAACTTTGTGGTCACCAAGATAAACAACTACTCCAAACGCATAATGCAGGGCGGTCTCTTAATACCCACAGCCGAGACTTATGCGCGCAGCGCTGTGGCCCAGCTAAGGGATGGTGTGGACGAAACTCCTGGCTATATCTGGCATCATGTACAGAATGCAGTTATGACCGCTTTTCCGTGGAGATTGCGCTTGACATTGGCTCAATTATTCTTTACAGTAATGGCCGACAAGAAGAAAGATAAATAAAAGCATTGCATACTTCAAGGATGCAACAGTAATCTTTATGGTTAGTGTCTCTGCTCAATGTTCATTGGCTTGTGTCTGTGCCAAACATGTCTTGGCTATTGTACTTAGAGCTTTAAACGGTTGAAAAGCTTTCTCAACAGTTTTTTTGGTCAAAATCAATAATTTAACTCCGAAGTACATAAATTGGATGATAGGTCTTTTTAGTCTTTTATTGTCAAGTGACACGGTTGCAACACACCTTCCTTGTCGCATTTGACAGGTATGCCTTTAAGTTGCTTTTACTGATATAAGTATCTAAATTTATAACTTTATTTATAAATTGAATTCACATTTGGCTTTCTGTAAAAAGTTCTCAGAATATAGCATACCATAATACTCGAACATTTCTCGTTAGGCCCTGTCATACTCATTTCCTTATTTATAATGCCGGCATTTTTTTTAAGAGTCATTCGAATAGATTTTGCAGTCAATTTTCAAAGCATATTTACATTTTTGTTGTCTCATCGAAAGTGCAATCAAAATCACTTTGAAATGTTTTGTTTACCTAGCATTTGGCATTCGAGGTGTTTGTATTGTTTGTTGATTCTGAATAGAAAGTGTTGAAATGCGTCGCGATATAGAAATACAGTATAAGGGATAATTTTTCGGAATTAGAATTTTCTAAAAATAATGCATTTGCTTATCACTGCATTTTCCAAATTCAGTTAAGTATTTTTAGCTCAGACGCTTAAAAACATTGAATTATATATATCCCAACTCTACTTCAACTGTTTTCCATTTCCACTTTAAGGGACACTATGCATTATTTATTTTTCTCAGAAAATATCAATCCCTTACGACCAAAAAGTTTTAAAAAATAAAAGTTTTCCCTTACAACAATTGTTATTTAAAATTAACTTACTTAATTTTTACAAAGAAATTACTTTATTTACAACAGCAATATTGTTTATTTAACAATTGTAAATTATTTATGATTAACTGACTTCCCAGGTTGGGGTTATTGCATGTCGCCAAGTATTTTTGCATCTTTTGCTAAATTGTTTTCAATTAGTCAAGAGACCCTCTCCCTCTGACAGGCCCAGCCCCAGTCCCAGTCCGAGTAAGTGTAGGCTAATTATGCAATTGGGGGTCATTATCAGCCTACAAAGTGTCAACCAATTTAACGGTCACACTTTTTATCCGGCATAGAGAGTGGCCAAAATCTCAGACAATGGGCTAACGATAATTAAAGGTCTCATAATTTGGCGGCAGATTTTGTAATCTTCCCAGCGACAGCAAACGCTAAACTTGATGTTTATGAAGTAATGAAGCTACAAACTATAATAAAAAGCAACTGAAAGAGCGGCAGGCGCACTAAAAGATACATGTTTTTGTATCTGTATCTGCAGTCTTCATGTTCATGCTCATAACCAAAGAGACAATTGCAGCTTATAAGAAACCCGAAAAATATATATGTAAGCGCGGCTCGATTTGCTGTGGTCGTGAGCTCTGCGGGGCCTGTAACTCGACTTCAGTTGCCGTTTCGGTGCTTTAGTGCGTGATTGACGCTCGGAGCCGCTACTTGTGCCAAGACCCGAAACGCACGCGTCGGTCGAACAACTCAAATATATTTGGTTTAATTGAAATTCAATCAAATTCAAATATAAAACAAGTGACGCGTTCCAATACATATGCTTAGCATGTTGATAAGTTTGAGCTCAATTATATAAAAATTGACGGCTCTCAGCTGTCGCTTATCAAATCGTTGCGTATATACATATACAAGTTTTTTGTGTGAAATATAACATATAACGACACTATCTGTCATTATGCAGCCGGTGCTGGAACTGAGCATTTATACACTGCTGCGCATGGCGTTCATTTGGCAGCTCGTCTCCTTGGCCATTTATTTGGTAGGCACTTTGGCAATTGGCGCCTTTCTCTACGACAATTTCAAATCCTTGATCAGTATTATCAAAGCCTTGCTGGAGCCGTACTTTCAGCCGCAGTTGCCGCAGAGCTTGCTGGATAAATTTGGCAAATGGGCAGGTAAGTTATTTCTCTGCTGCCATTCACACACATTAGTAAAAAAAATATATTTACATAATTCGCAACACTTTCGCATTCACTAGATAAAAGCACAACACAAAAACAGGCCTAAGGCATTTGCATATATTACGTTTATTTTATCTTTATATATATTTTTTGGTTTTATTGTGTTTGAAATTTATTAACCTGTGAATATTTCAAAATATATTTCATTTGTTGGCCTTGTAAATAAAAATTTTCTTTAAAAAACGAATTTTTTTAAAACACCTTTAAAAATTAAGGGCCCGGAAATCTAATATTAGGTCTGTAAAAAGGAAGTTGTGTTTTCAACAATTCACGTTATTTATTTATCAAAACATTTCTTCAACGTGCTTGAAATATATTTCAATAAAATATTTATAGTTCGTTTTTATCAATTAAGAAGAGGATGTAGATCGGAGGTCATATTATAATACTTCCCTTATTGAAAAGCAAATAAAATATGTAAATAAAACGATTTTTTAATATAAATAAAGAGCGCAAAACCAGGAAAACTAAACACCATTGATATTATTTTATAATATCTGATAGAGAAATTTATGTGTTTTTTTGTTTGTCAAACCCTCACTAATATTTTTAACCATATTTGTGCACTTTCATAACACCCTTTTCACACTTTTTATGAATACTGAGTACAAAAAGAATTTCTAATAATGAGCAAATAATTGCAAATATCTATTATTAATAATATTGTCGATTATATGAGATGCGATATGCACTCAATCCAATTATATAGAAAATATAATCTGCTTAAATTATGTAAATTGCATGCTCAAAGGCATTCGTAAAAAAACCCACTAATTTTCATGGTAAATTATTTAGATATATCGTGACCATCCAAGTTATTAAGGAAATTGTTTTTCAATGCCCAAAACAATTTATGTTTCCTAGGTCCAAAGGCTAAACGTGACAAAGTGATAACAATTACTTATCAAAATGTTCCATGTACTATAGTTTTATAATAGATTAAACATTTACATGTATTTCCATGATAAGAGCGGCATATCGAACAGCTGTTCCAGTGTTTGCGTTCTCTGTTTGTTTATGCTTTTTTATAGAGCACACAAAGTCATTCAACCCGCCTAACGAAAACGAAAACAAAACCAGATTTACGCGAAACTTTTTTCTCTTATTTGGCACGGTTTTAAAAAGAAAATAAAGCAAGAGTTTATTATAATAATAGAAACAAATTGCTTTGCAGCGTTCGTGTTGACATTTTTACGTTCGGCTTTTTATGTCTACTCATTTCAATATTCTCAAGTATTTTTGACCTTGAGCAGAGTGAAATATTATTTGCCAATTGAGGTTTTTCAATTAAAATATTTAGTTGCAAATACTGTTACCAACTTATAACGGTCTGTGCAAATTTGCCGCGCTTAGCACACGCGCTGCTGCCGTTCGTTGCCAATGTTTCCGCTGCACAAATATTTGGCAACCAGAGTGGCCAACAGCAGCAGCAACAACAAATATACCCCAACAACTACAACAACAACTTCTAGTTTAACAGTGCCAACAGAAATGCCGCCTGTTGGCCAGTTGCGCAGTCGCAGTGGCAACTGTGTTGCATTGACTCATTGCAACAGCAGCACCAATAGCCGCAGCATGTACAACAAAAACATACCAAGTTTCTGTTTTGCACACCCTGTAAATTCTTAAAAGTAGGATATGATGGTTTGTGCGTGGGTATGTAACAGGCAGGCGGAGCTCATTATGGAGCCCATAAACTATATACATAAGTATATATTCTTGGTCAACTTAAATATATTATTTTCATATTAGCCATGTCTGTCTATCTATCCGTCATTCTGTATGAAAGTTATAAGATCCTAGAGACGTCATATTTGAACCCAGCACAAGCTTACTTCTAATCATCGATAAGTAATCTTAAGTACCGACCAATAACCTAGGTAAATATACTTGTCTCCAGATATAAGAGCAAGAGATTTCAAATTCGGCGCAAACGTTTTTGGATACCTTTCCCCTTAAATAAGTAAAAACTCGTTTTAAAAGTTAAAATCTTAAGCTTTAGTTTGTTTATATCAATGCTATATTTAAGCCCTGAAAATTCCCTGAAGATCAGGATTTATTTATGTGCAGAGGGTATATCGTAGTCGGGAACTGCGGACATAAGCTCACTTGTTTTCTTATTGGTATTTGGATTTGTATTGGTTTTGGGCTCGGCAGTAGTAACTACCACATGCCAAAAAGGCCCGACCGAACAAATAATTAGCAAGGGTGTGTTAAGTAGTTGAGTTACCTGCAACAACTCAGCATTTGAAATTGAATGTATTTAGATATAAATTTACAAAATATTTGATCTCAAGAAAATTGCAATATAATGTCTGACCGAAATGATATTCCTAATTCAAACTATTTCATGTTAAGAATTTTCGCAGTCATAAGAGTTTTTTTTATTTATTTAAGCAGTCAATATTGTTATTATTATTGACCATTTTAAAAAATATGGAACAAAATAAAAAATAAAAAACAAATGCAAGTATTAGCATACAGCATACCTTAAAGACAATATTCGTCTAATTAATATATCGAGCTTTGACAAATCCATGTGAAATGAAAGATTAGAAAAAAGTTAAGCTATTACTCTTATTACTATTTCTCTGCCTCCCCTGCTTAACTTAAATATTTTGTCCTTTCTCTTTTTAGTGATAACCGGCGCCACTGATGGCATTGGCAAGGAGTATGCCAGAGAATTGGCACGCCAAGGTCTCAATCTGGTGCTCATCTCACGCACCAAAGAGAAGCTTATTGCGGTAACCAATGAGATTGGTATGTAAAGGGCTGTCCAGATGCGTTAACTGATCTGACCTGTCTCTCAACTTTTACAGAGAGCGAGCACAAGGTGAAGACCAAATGGATAGCCGTCGATTTTGCCAAGGGACGCGAAGCTTACGACCAAATCGAAAGGGAGCTGGCGGGCATTGAAGTGGGTATACTGGGTAAGTACAGAGAGCAAAAGCCCATGTGTTAAAACAGAATTAAGAATCCGAGAATTGAAAGTATACAGTACCTAATAGGCACACTAATATAGGCACTATATAATGAAAAGTAAAAAAGTCTCTGAAAATAGTAAGGGCTTATGTGTGAAATCTATAAATAAAGAATCGGCTCACAGCCCACGTTTGAGACTTCCAGGTCAGCTAGAAGTTACTATTATCGGCATCCACGCTTGCCCCTTTTCGAAAATTCCTCAGTAATGAATTTTAAAAAGAGGGTATTATATAGAGGGTATTACCCGGTTTTGCACGGTTGATCGGATGAAAAACCAAAACTAGCAATATAATAGTATAACTTCAATAGTTCAGCATAAATACGACAGTTATGTTTTTGAGTATACAACATTTTACCCTCATTTTCCACCTAGCAGATGTGGATTCGTAGTGAAACAGTTCTCACATTAACTTTTACAGCTTCGGCTTGATCGGATAAACACAGTAAATATAATTTCACCAGACAAACTGCGAGTGAGACCCCAGATTTGGAGTAGGCTACTTAGTAATAGTACTGGAACTTGAGTATTACAAACTGTCTTGAATAAATTAATAATACATTACTGGTTGCAATTGGAATTTACCGTACTTTTGGTGTCCGTCACCAGCCCATCCACAAGTTGCCACAGCACCCGCCCACCCCGTGGACACATTATAGCCAACTCATTGTCAACTAACAGTAGCCGGCCGTGTGTCACTGACGACAACAATTAGGCAGCTTGGTTTTCGGTTTGTTTTGTTGAGTTTTGTTGTCAATGGCATTGAAAAAACTTAGCTGAGATACTCGTAATGGCGTGCAATTATAATGACTCTTTGCGGTAGGGCCATTTGACGGACTGCCGGGCAGATTTTCAAACATTTTCAAGTACATATAAATAATTTCTGTGTCGAACTTTTAGAGTTTTATTTGCCAAACTCATAAACGCTTTGACGCGCTTCAGCAATTTACATTTTTGTTGCGTTTGAGGCAACCTTGCCACAGCATGGCTTAAACCGATAAGCATCTATGGCCTTAACTGGGGGAAAATTCGGTCTTCGTTGCAGTGAACAACGTGGGCAGAATGTATGACTATCCGGAGACTCTGGAACTGGTGCCCGAAGATACCATCTGGGATATACTGACCATCAACATTGGCGCTGTCACCATGCTGACCCGCAAGATAGTGCCACAAATGAAATCGGCTGGAAGGGGTGCGATTGTTAATATTGGCTCTGGATCGGAGCTCCAGCCCATGCCAAATATGGCCGTTTACTCGGCTACCAAGAAGTATGTCACATTTTTCACTCAGGCCCTGGAGCAGGAGCTGGCCGAGTTCAATGTGACCGTGCAGCTGGTCATGCCCATGTTCGTGATTACCAAAATGAATGAGTATTCCAATTCGGTGATGCGCGGAGGTTTTCTAATACCCACTGCACGCAGCTTTGCGCGTTCCGCTGTCTTCACGCTGGGCAAAACGAGCATAACGACGGGCTTCTGGACGCACGGACTTCAGGTGAGACTAACTAATTATTAACAAACAGGTCATTTATAATCCAGTAAATGGAAGCGAAAACGTTTTAAACGAAAGTATTAGCAATAGGTGCTCACACTAGAGATTAAGCTTGGGAAGAACTTTACTAGCTCCGATAGCTAGAATGGCCTATGTCCTAACGAGAAGAACAGTTTGGTCGACTAGCAAATACCCCGTATTCAGGACAAGTTGTTTCTGTTCTACGTGTATACGCACACAGTTTAGTATATGTATATTGCGATTCTTCTTATATCTGCCCCACACTATAAGAACTACACTCTTGATTAACTTCGGTGTTTATAGTAGATCTTTGCGTAATTTGTAGCGCTTGAATATGACACATTAACATAACAAAACATTAATCTTCAGTTCTTTACCCTTTGCAGTACTTTTTTATGAAGCTGGCGCCGCAGCATCTGCGCATGCTCATTGGCCACCAGCTGACGCGCCGCCTGCGGCTCGAGGGTTTGAGCCAAAAGAAGATAACCTAGTAAACAAATACTGCATTGCACGAACAACTTGTACATCTTAGATCTTAAGAGTCTTGTAAATATTGGCGCATAGTTTTAATCATAATAAAAACTGTAAACATTTTTCGTACAAAAACCGGCTGGGAAAATCAATTTACAATTTTTTTTTTTTTTTTTGCCAACTGATTGCATAACTTCTGTGTTGTGTATGCTCGAATAGGGGAACGGGGGGATATAATCGGAGCCGTTGAACCGGTTGCCACTCTGTTGACCGACAGACGGAAGAGCTGCAATAGGCCGAAAAGCTTCGCTTATTCGCAGCGAGCAGGCTTTTGGTTTTGAGCTAAAAAAAACTCAAATTCGAATTGCATTCATGTGCATGCAAAATGAGTTTCAAGTGGAATCCATGAGGGTCTCTCAATTGTGGTCACTGGCCACGGGTCGCACTGCCCACATTATGCAAGCTGACATTACAATGCAAGTTTTGGGCCCGAGATGGTATGACTGGCTCTATTGGGCCAGCTAACATGCAGTTGCTTTTGCTGGGCTAAAATACGTTTACTAATCAACTAATCAAGAAGGGAAGGAATGCGAAACATGCGAAAATCAGGAAGATAAGTCGATGAGCTTAAGCCACAGACTATGACAATATATATCTTATTCCAAAAGGTGGCTCCTAAAAGGACTTTGAAAACATTAAACATTAACACTGATTAAACTTCGTTCTTAAATCAAGGTATGTATATGTAAAGTTACTATGAAGATTTTATGAAAGGTAAACTGAAGATCCTTACATCTAAGATATACTGTTGTGGTTAGGGAACTATCCTACCCAGACTACTTTTCTTGAGAAACTTACAGCCCAAAACCTAACATCATTTGTTTGATTTGCTTACAAAAAGATAGTTGCTCTTATAAAATTTACCGCAAGCCCAATCTTAAAGTTGAATCTACAGTGAGTGACAAAAAAATGAGACGAAAAAGCATAAAACAGCTTCCAACATAAATAACTAATGAGTGCATATAATAATAAAAAAAAAAAAAAAACATTATGAAAGCCAGGAAAATAGGTAAGCGTTTAAAATAGTAGGTTGTAAATGTAATCACGGGCCTAATCGGAAACAACAAATAGTTTCCGGCTTGATTTTTAAATTATATTTTTCTATATTTCTCTTAACTTTAATTTCAACATCTTCGAACCTAATTTGCTTACTTATGAGTCTGTACATCGAAGCTCTTTGCCTTGGGTTTTTTTACTTTGAGTCGAACCTTAAATTAAACCAAAAATAACCAAACCGGAGCTATATATAATAACCAAGCTATGTTTTGAAGTTGGAATATCGAATCGTATTATTGCTGATTTTTACAGATTTTATCGGGTACAATTATAATTCTTGAATTTTACTTGTTGTATTACAATAGTAAAAATCTTTAATGCTCTACTTTTTATATCTTTGAGACTTGAATCCATACCAAGCAAATGAGTAAGAAATAATATATTTTCTTTTATTAAAATCATATCGGCGAACCAGCTTTAAAGGTAACTCCGAATTGTTTTCGTATATCTGGACCTCTAAAGTGCTTAAAACCGCTTCGGACATTTTCTTTTTTTATTAAATAGGTAACCATTTTCCAGCCCAACTATGCTGAATGGTATATCCCATTAAAAACTATTGATTCTTTGCTTTTTTTGTTGTTTTATTCCTGCTTTGTTTGTTGTTGTTATTAATGCATTTTGGTGTTTGTTGCTTGTTGCTTGTGTAGCTGTTGGTCTTGTTGTTATTTACGAAGAAAATGCAAATAGAATAATAGAAATAAAGATCTTACATATTATGTGCAAAGTGTTAAACAATGAAATAAACAATTTTCCTATGTGCGCCTTGTTATGCTGATGTGTTGTTGCTGTTAAACACACTTATACTGTACATTATGGTCTATAAATTGTAAATTGTAAATTGTAAATTGGATGAATTCCATTGCGAAACGAAAATTGCCAGTTAATATTTATGATTAGAGCAGATGACGCCAAGACTGTCCGAGCACGTTGTGGATGTCACGTCGCCCCAAATGGACCGTAACGCTGGCCAAATCGAACGTAGCTCTGCGAGATAAAAATAGTTCATATATCAGATATAGAATTGGGCAATTAAATCTTATGGAACTTACCGCCACACACACACGCTTCCTCTGTTGCAGTTCATCCCAATTATGAGAGCCCCGAACCGAGCAGCTGTTTATTGCCTGCAGCTTTGACGTCATCTGCAGGAAGCAAGAATCGAATAAGAATTTTCTTTAAATACCAGCTGGCCCAGTTTTATTTATTTCTCAAAATGATTATTGCCCGCATTCGCAATACCAAAATTATATATGATATTTATATTCATGTGGAGACGTTTACATTTGTTTCAATGGATAAAATTGGGGCTCTTGAAAACATTTTGGCAGCCGATATTGAAATTCAATTTTGGGTATATGCGCAGATTGTTTTTATTTTTATTTTTTGTACTTTTTATCTTTATTGTTTTCAAATTCAATTGGTAAAACGCATAAACAATAGCCACAAATTTGTTTGTTGCAAAAAATCATTGCTTTTCGATATTTTTAGTCAAAACTTATTTCGTGCGGACATTATAAAGAAAGGATTTTGGTCTTACTAGATAAGTATCAAATACTAAAATAATATTTAATTTATAAAGAGAATAGTGAAGACTTTTTAAAAAATAGAATAGCACATTTTCGTTCGATTCTTCCCATATAAGAATATGGTAAAGTAGACCCTTAATGATAAGATATGGCTCACATGTTTGCATAGAAACAAAAATATGGGCAGGACTATCTAGCGAATCGGCTTTTGAGACTGATCAAGAATATGTATATACTTTATTGGGTACAATATGATTCCTTCTGCAGATTTTATGAATACCTTCGAGCTATCTTCTACTGCCAATTATAATTATATAACAAAATAGCTAAAAGAATCGAAAAGGTGTATGCTATTCAGATCGATAATTTATTTTATACTCATACATATTTTAATGTACTCAGCGAGCATTAGAATCTAAAGAAATTCAAATCGCTATGAGAAATAAAAAAAGAATTTTGAAAATTATGAACGCTCAAAATATCACGTCAAATTCATTTGACAAATTTCACACGCTGCAAAAATATTTCAAAAGTTGTTTTATATATATATTTGTATATATAACGCAATCGTATGGAGCGGTAGATATTTAGAGGGCCATGTCGAAATGTCGTCTTAAAAAAGCAAAAACTTTTTGGAAAGTGATTTCTCTAATGTCGCAAGATTTGGCACCGCTGTCAAAAAAGAAAAAAAACTAAGCATAATCAGGCGAAGAGCCGGATGGGGGTTTAGACATATATGTATCCAACGTATACCATGGTATTTTTTTTTTCATAGATTTTTCCTTTGCTAATTTCATAAATTAATGTCATAGAAATGCTCAGCATGTTCGCTAAAACTGTTCAGATATATGAAAAGAAACCACTTTTTGATTTGCGATGAGCAGCAATAATTTGATTTTAAGATTAAAATTAACTTATAGATACATACATATATAGATATAGATATAGGTAGATAGATACTGTGTGCTTGACTCACCTGACTTAGGGTACTAATAGAAATCCATTAAATGCTAGCGACTTAGATCCTAGTCATAGGTAATTTTGATTTTAAACATACATATTTAAATATTGTTGTTGGAATTAAAATTCAACATGTAAGATTATCCTTGAACTATTCAAATCATGATTTAGAAAGCGGCTTCGTAGAAGGCATAGAGCAAAAATAGCAACAATGCCAGGATTATGAAGGTGGTAAACAAACTTCTGGCTTCATTCATTTTGTTCGAGTTGCTGTTTTAGTTGTTGCTGCATTGTACAAAAAGAGAATTATAGATATTTAATTAGCCAAGAGTGAATAGAAGATGTCCCCGTCTTTGGGTTTGTGCTACTCGGTTCACAGAGTTTTATACTATTGCTTTTAGTTTGTAATTGAAGTCAATTCGTCAATTTAGTTGTAAATTAATTAAGCACCAAATGCAACTTAATTTTGGATACACACACTTGGGAGCTTTGAGGAATCGGCAAACCGTTCGAAGCAAATGACACGGAATAACTGAGAAACGCACCAAAATGTTCTTCTCCACAAACTGGCCTATAATTTTTATCACGAATCAAAATCCGACAGCAGACCGCAGTCAGCTCATTGGAATTATGGTTCTATATATTTGCCATACACATACATTCAGATATATGCATATATATAATATACTTATATAAATATATATATATATATATACATATATTTGAATATCTAGAGGAACAGAGATGGTTGTGGATGTGGTTGTCCAGTTGTTGCGCATATTTTGATGCGGCACACATCGCGTTTATATGTACGAATATTGCCAGAATTATACGCAATATCTATAAGCATGTTTAGATTCCATGGATGCGTGTGGGCGGCGCAAGCGCCTCATATGCATGCCTCATGCAGCCCGAGCATAGCAACTTCTCCAAGTTCTCCCAGTTTCGCTCTATTTCTCGTACCTAACGTATCAATTCGTGAATTGTTTTCAATTTGGCCATTATTCATGCTCGCCGGTGGCAAATTGCCTTAGACCTCGTGCGGCTATTGAAATATGTTTTTTGAATTTATTTATTTATTTGTTTATTTTTCCTGTGGTCAGCTTTTCGCTTCGGTTCGGTTCGGTGTGGTTCGGTGCGATGCGGTGCGGTCAGCATTCTCCAGGCAGCTGTATTCTAAATCGCAATTCATATTTATTTTCTTTGGCCGCTAAATATATTTGAAATTGCTTGTGCCATATGTTTATTTGGTCTTTGAAACATGTCCAAAATATATTTAAATAATTTCATCGAGGCACGTACCACCGACTGTGCCCTACATGCACAGCTCATTGAATCTTAGGTATATTTGGAAAATTGACTATAAGTTCTATGCAAATCCATTTGGTCTGTGCTATAACTTAAATGGACACCTATCAGCATACGGACTTTGGCATCTATATATCTAATAGGTTAGATGTTTCATTGGAAAATATTTTAAAATGTATATATTTAAAAAAATAATAAAGCCTTTAA